CCGGCAGTGTGACGCGCCGATCAGGGATGGTCGAGGACTCGGCATGGCCCGCCTGTGGTGAGCAATGGGAACCGCCGACGCCGCTCATGGCTCGGCTCGGCAGGCACGGGGCGGCGCCGGCCGTGTACGGGAGGTCCGGACGGCAGTCGTGCGGTCTGCCGGCGCGCCGTCACGTGCTGAGGCTCGCCGCGCGGGGAGCGCTGGCCCGCCGCGCCGCTCGACGCTCGGAGGAGAGAGCTCTGAGACCAGACACGGCCGCCGCCGCCGCCGCCGCCGCCGCGGCGACCGGTTCTCGGCCCGCCGCCGTGTCCAGCACGGCCGTGGTCAAGGTCTCGGCCCGGCCAAGGACGGACACCTTGGGCGCCTTGTTTACGCTCGGTGTGACGTGTTGAACGTGACACGTCTCTCATGCCTCGGTCGATGTTGATGTTGGGACCTCATGGTCGCTGCTTTGACTTGTGGACCTGTAGATACTGGTCACGCTCTGGCGCGTGCTGGTTTTCCTGAAGAAGCTTTTGATTCGATTTTTCGAGGCTTAATTCAAGTAGGCCGTTTTACCATTGCAACGTACAGTTAGAATTGGGAAGTCTTTCCCTCACTTCTCTCCAGACCGCGTCAATGTTAGACTTGCGTCCATGGCTGCAGCACTCCTCTGTCTGGCATTTTGCTGCCCGTGATTCGGTACCGCCATCGCCGACTCTTGTTGACATATGCACGGCTCCATCCCCATTGTCATACCAAGCGTGCTATCCCTATCCTCTATGTAATGCATCCTCTCCCTTCCCGCCATATCATCAGTCAATAATGACGTTTGAACTCCATTTGTTCCGCCGGAAACAGCCATTCTCGTGAGGAAGAGCTGGGCCTGGGGTCACAGGTCGCGACCCCGCCGTGACCTGGCTGTCGCCGCCCGCCGTGACCGCTGCGCCGCCGTTCCCAGGCGCCGGGGCGCAGTCGGCGGCGCCGGTGGGGCCGAGCGGGGCGGCTCAGGTGTCCGGATGTGGCCGCCGCCGCCGCTGCCGCCCCGGCCGACTGCCCCGCCAGGGTCGGGCAGCGTCGGTGACGGCTCGGCCGACTCTCACGTCAGGCCCCCTGCCCCGCCGGGGTCGGGCAGCGTCGGTGACGGCTCGGCGGGGTCTCGGGGACCGGGTCAGGCTCGGCTCGGCGCGTGGTGTCCCCGCGCGGTTTTGTCCGGACGTGGGACTGATTTGCCGGCGCCGTTGTCCGACATCAGAACTTGCGCCGTCACCTCCCAGCCAGCGATGACTCGTTTGAGACCCAGTGTAAACGGACGTCCCAATTTGAACAATGCCTTTCTGTCTGGTTATTTACGAATTCACGAACAGTTCAGTCAGGAGTGGGACGTCGTTGATTAGACTGTTTTTGTTGCGAATGGTTTGGGTCTTGAGTGTAACTGTGTTCGCCGCCGCCACATCTTCACGTGTTACCCGGACTTCCAAGCTTCGGATGTCCTCCGATGCTAACCAAAAGCTAGAAGGGGAATGTCTCGCTACAAGGACGTCTTGATCGCCAAACGGCTCGGTCCCCTTCGGCTGATCTATCCTGAGGACGTCGTGCAATGTGCGCTAACCACGCCTGCTATTCGGCCAGGATGCCGCTGTTCCCGCGACTTTACGTGAAGAAGTCGCGGCAGTACAACGTCGTGTCCAAGGACCTGATGGTGATCAGGGTGGAGCTGCTGGACAGCACAGCCTGTCGAGTGTACTCTCTCGTCGGAGAGTTCCGGTCAGGAGTGCCTGGACAACGTGTGCCAGAGGTTCGGCATCAAGCAGGTGAGTGGTACGGCCGTTGGCGGCCGGAGCGCGGTGCGGCGCTGCCGGCATGCGCGGTCCTGAACAGCGGGCCAGAGCGCGGGGCGGCCCTGCTGGCGTGCGCGGTCCCGAGCAGCGCCAGAGCGCGGTGCGGCGCTGCCGGCGTGCGCGGTCCTGAGCAGCGCCAGAGCGCGGTGCGGCCCTGCTGGCGTACGCGGTCCCGAGCAGTGCCAGAGCGCGGTGCGGCCCTGCTGGCGTGCGCGGTCCCGAGCAGTGCCGGAGCGCGGTGCGGCCCTGCTGGCGTGCGCGGTCCCGAGCAGCGCCGGAGCGCGGTGCGGCGCTGCTGGCGTGCGCGGTCCTGAGCAGCAGGCATGTCGGCCGCTGCGAGCCCGGCCTTTGTTATCTCGCTCGGCCCTTTCTCCGGCGTTGTTTTCTCCGGCCCTCTTCGTACTTTCGCTGCGGATCATCCCGTGATTTTCTCCTCAACTCTAACCCAGACCTGTCCATTGTCAATTATCTTCGACTGTTATGCGTCAGGTTCGCTTCACGCTCCCCATTGACGGCTCTTTTGAAGATGCTTGAATGCTGATGAGCTGAGGCAACGACGTTTTTTTCCGTCATGGTTTCGCATGCCCTTTGTTACGCAATTCGTCTGGAAGTGTTGTGGCGGGCTGTATGTGTATTTTAAAGATCGTATATACTAGTCCGATCTGAAAAGCATCGTAGCATTGTAGCATCGCATGTTTGTTGAAACAGCGACTAGCAGTGATCTGTGCAGCCCTCTGTTTTATTCCAAAAGAGTAACCCATCATTTGGCGTGCAGTCGGCCTCGCAGCTGCCAGCACATTCCGTCCCGCATGCGTATGCTGTTATTGTGACATTGGAGCACCCTTCCAATTTTCGCCGAAGGGTTGGAGCACCGTCATCTGAAGTGTCCCCTCCGGCGCGTCTTGGCAAAATTGGTCACCCTCGCCGCGGCTGGGTCGTCCCCCCGGTCGCCCTCCCGGCGGCTCTCTTTGCGACCCTCGCGTTCATGAGCTCTGCCTCTTTGCGACACTCGCGTTCATGAGCTCTGCCTCTTCGCGACCGTTGCGTTCATGAGCTCTGCCTCTGCGACCCTCGCGTTCATGAGCTCTGCCTCTTCGCGACCCTCGCGCTCATGAGCTCTGCCTCTTCGCGACCCTCGCGTTCATGAGCTCTGCCTCTTTGCGACCCTCGCGTTCATGAGCTCTGCCTCTTCGCGACCGTCGCGTTCATGAGCTCTGCCTCTGCGACCCTCACGCTCATGAGCTCTGCCTCTTCGCGACCCTCGCGTTCATGAGCTCTGCCTCTTTGCGACCCTCGCGTTCATGAGCTCTGCCGCCGCTGGCCTCCCGCTAGCCTTGAACCTGGTGCTTTACGGAGGCTTTGTTTGCGCGCCCCGCCCGGTCCCAAACAGAGGCGCCTGGCGTACTGCGGTCCAGCAGACCGACTGTGCCTGGTGCCGCGGCCGCCGTCCGGCCGCGGCGGATCGCAGACTTCATACGCCGGCCGCGCCTGGATAAGCTTGGGGCTTTAAGTCGCGATTATCCGCTCCAGCAAATGGAGCCGAGCGCTCTTGGTTTAGAGTTTCGTTGCTGCGGATTAGCTTAAATGGTACGGGTGAGAGCCGGTTTTGACTGTATCGTGGGGTGGTATTTGAGTAATCAGCTGAAAGATCGAGGCGATAACGAACAGGCGGACCGAGATTCCGCGGGCGATATCGGCTCTGCATCAGCCCGCGACGACGCGCTGCTGATCGTTCGTGCGTGTCATCGCATTACTTTCACTTCTCGTCTTGTATGGCTTCATGTACTATGTTTGCCGGAGACAGAAGCAAACAAACCTTTTTCGTTAGCCGCAGTGATATCTGCAGTTTCGTCAGGTCTACAGGAAGGCTTCGGCCCGCACACTGCTCACTGCTGCCAGCCTTGCCGCCAGCTAGCGCCCGCCGTTCTGACCTTCCCCGTCACCGCCCGGCAGCCCAAGTTCTTCGGCCTGAAGTACAAGGCGCGCCGGTCGCCGCCGCTGCGTCGCTGGCTGGACCTGGAGCGGCCGCTGAAGAAGCAGCTGGACCGGTTCGCCGAGTCCAACTACCTGCACCTGGGCGTCATGTTTTACGTCTCCGACATCAGCGCCCTGCAGGACGAGATGACCCGGTGAGCCGATGGGGGTAAGGCGTGCTGGGCGGCCAGGCGCCCCATGCACAGAGATTGGTTAAGCCACTGACGCGGATCTTGATGTGGTGTGTTTCTCGGGATTGCAGAGGCGGAGGAGGGGCACGGGACGGTCGGATCTGTTTCATATCGTAACACGGACGCTGCGAGTAGTATTTCTTTGAAACAGAATGGATTGCGGATCTGTGAGATATTTCGGTGGCTGGGGGAGGGTAGTTTTAGTTTTCGACGCACAAGAACGCCTAGGCCATTATCACGTCTATTAAGTCTGTCGCCGAGTTTTGAAGACAAAAACGGTGCTGGTTATCCAAACGGTTATAGTGATGGATGACCGAGCGACCCGAGCCAAGTATGTGTGCATTTTTCCTAGGCTGTCCAGTGAAAGCGGCATTTAATTGCTGGAAATACAGCCGTTTCCAATATTCCTCCCCCATTGTGCCTCTGCCGTCTCTCGGGGCGGCGGCCGACCGGGAGTCATGCGCCGGTTTTCTAAATCGGGCGAGTTTCACGCGGCGCGGCCGGGCTGCGCGCGGCATCCTGAGCACGCGCCGGGCGTCGTGACTGCCCGGGCCGCTGCGGCCGCACGGCCGTCACACGTGGCGGTTGGCGCCGCTGTAGTAAATCTCTCCGGCGCTGCGGAGCGCGCCGCCGCTAGACGGGCCCGCCCTCGTGCAGTGCGTTTACGGTGCAGGCCAAGCTCCCGTTACCGCCGTTGTCGAGTGGTCGACTGCTCCCGTTCTCGAGCTGGTGCTGGGTCGGCTCCCATCCTCCGACTGTGTGTGTGCATCCGATGTGCTCTGCTTGGCGCGCTGTGTACCGGTGTAAGGTCATCTCCCCGCTCCCCTGTGGCCGCTGGATGGTCGCGATATACCCTGCAGCCATCGCTCAGCGCCCTCCGCGATGTGCGGTCGGGGCACATCCTCTCGCCTTTTGTGAGCGCTCTCCCGGACGCGCTGTCCGGCCGTCGTCGCTGACGGCGCGCGCCGCCGGCCGCCGCCAGGACGCAGTACTTTCTCCAGCTGAAGAACGACGTGCTCGAGTGTCGGCTGCACTGCAACTACGAGCAGGCGGTGATGCTGGCCAGCTACAGTCTGCAGGCCGAGCTGGGCGATTACGAGGCCGACCGGCACTCGGCCCAGTACATCAGAGAGTTCTCCATCTTCCCCAAGGTCGGGGGCGAATACCAACGCGTGTTCTTCACTCGGGGTGACGGACAGTGTCGTGGTGGAAACGCGCGGCCGTTTTTTTCTTATTTTGGCTGAGCGGATTTGTGTTGTTCCTGGTGGAGCATTACATTGGGTTCATGCCTGGGTTCTGCCCTGCTGTGAGGACGGAAGGGTACGATTTTGCGGCACAATCGGATCTGGCACTGTTATGGTTACTGTGAAAGGAAATCGCAACTTTTGTTCGAAAATTGGATGTGGTGTCATCCAGCGCTGCTGCAGGCAAATCACCATGGTAGTTTACGCCGATCTTTTGGCGGAGTGTCCTTTCGCAGCATTGCCGACATGACCCGCGAACAGTGATTCGATTCTGTGATTCGGGATTTCCCCCCGTCTCTCGCCGCTCCTGTGTGGTCGGCGCCGTGTCCTCCTTGCCAGTCCTCTGGCTGCGCGTGCGTTACCCCCGCCAGCCCCGTCTGACGGACGCCGCGCGCCTGCCGCCAGCACATGGTGCTGGACGAGGAGCGTCGCGAGGCGCTGACCGAGGCGGCGCTGCAGTCGCACTCGGCCCTGCGCTGGTCTCTCCCAGCAGCTGGCCGAGGTCTACTACATCATGGAGGCCCAACAGCTGGAGGGCTACGGTCAGGAGCACTTCGTTTGCAGGGTGAGTACGCGGCAGACATCGGCCTGACCATGCCGCTGCTAGAGCGGCTGTCTCGCACCCCGCTTCTTCTGTGAGATTGGTTGGCTGCATTCAAACAATGGAAATTAGATTATCAGCCACCTTTTGGCTACGTCGTGCATCCGTTACCGTTCCTCGTGCGTAGACCACGTGCGTGTGCTGTCGTGATATTAGCTGTTGAGTGATTATCGAGGTGTCGTTGAGGCGATCGGCGCCGCCTCCAGTGACGCCCGTCAGACGCTCCCCGTGTTGCGGGCTCCGGAGCGTCGCGGGAATCAATTACGACACTCGTTGTGCGGCTCCGTGAGTTCTCTGACTCACGACTCTACCTGGTCGAGCAACGACTAAGACATGCGGGATGCGAACGACCGGGACGAAAAGACCGACGCTCGTAACGGCTGTCAATGCACGTGCCTGCGAACACCAGGCTCCACTGCCATAGTGATTGTTCCGTTATGTACCGATGTGTGCAACCCTTGAAGTTAATTAGCTTTCCCTCCGCTGGGGGAGGCCCGGACCGGCTTCGCCGGGAAGATTTGCTTTTTGCGTATTAGTGCTCACACACCCGTCCGATATTTGATGTGCGAGCAAACATTGTGTCTGCTAATGCATGTTAGCGTCGCAAACATCCGGATTGGAAAGCTGCGATATGAGCGCTTGTCTGGGGAGAACGTGTCCGCTCCTATACATAGAACCGTCGCCATGCCGACGCCTCGTCTGATCGGCGCTTCCCGTGTCAAACCCGGGTGGGAACTAAAGATGGACATGGATTACATTTCCATGTTTTGGGCGGTCGTGAGCTCACTACACTAATGCAGCGTTGGACGTGACATGGGACATTTCGTCTAGCTTGCTGTCGTGAAAGGACCTGTCAGTTATAATGTGATAATGAAGCACGTGGTAACGCCCATCAAAACCACCTAGGCGGAGAACTTTGTTGAAAGTGAGAGAGCAAGAGTGGACGTATGGCGGTGATTGAGCCGCTCATATTTTGTAGACAAACTTTACGCCAGGACCCGTTCACAACAGCTGCTAGTTATTCCTGTCCATCACGCGCGTGTCTGGTGAGGAGGTGCTTGTCTCCGCCTGCGGCGCCTCTCCACCGCCTGCCTGTACGGCCGACAGGACGACTGCAGCAACGGCGTGCTGGTGGGCGCCTCCCTGACCGGGATTGTGGTGCGGCTGGGCGGCAACCAGCCTCCCACCTTCTACCGCTGGGCCGACATCACCAACCTGCACAACCACAAGCGCAACTTCGGCATCGAGCTCACCGAGAACCGCACCGTGCAGTTCGTCATGGACGACAAGGAGCTGGCGAAGTACGTCTGGAAGGTGTGCGTCCAGCAGGTGAGTACGTACCGGTCCGCGGTGAGCGGGTGAGAATGGGCCAGATAGCAGGTGAGTGCGCACTGGCCCGCGGTGAGCGGGTGAGAATGGGCCGGGCGGCAAGTGAGTGAGCACCGGTCCGTTGTGAGCGGGTGAGAATGGGCCGGGCAGCAGGCGAGTGTGCACCGGTCCGCGGTGAGCGGGTGAGCTGTCAACCGTCGACAGACACCTTGGGTTAGAGCTGACAGTATTCCTGGAAACTCGGAAGGCTTTGGGTTGTTGAGATTGCCCATCGATTGGACTGGCATGCCTTGCCGCAAGCCACGCATTTCATCAACGAACACCGCGCGTGGTGCGGGTGAGTCCGAATGGAGTCTCAAATTCCACGCATTCTTCAGACTGTTGTAACTTCCGCGGTATCGCTGCCATGCCGTCAGCAGTGACCAGTGTGAGTGACCGACCATTTCCGCCGCAGCACAAGTTCTTCGAGACGAACCAGACGCTGCTGGAGGGCAAGGAGACGATCTCGCAGCTGCCGCCGCCCGACATCCAGTCGTCGACGGTGCCGCGGCCGCTGGAGACGCTGGACGGCGTGCCGGGCCGCCTTGGCCAGGAGGAGCCGCCACCGGCCACCGTGTTCCCGCAGGTACGGCCGGGGCCGCGCCGCCGCCCCGACAGCGGGCGTGGCGACCGTGGGTGGTGGCGTGCCAGTGGACGGACACTGGCGCGCGGCGTTCGATGTCGTCCTGCTGTGGGCAGCTTGGTTGTGTTTTCGCGATGGGGTGGTCAGTGGCTGCGTGCCGATTCTAACTGGTGTTTAGAGTCGACGGTTTGGTAGTGGTCTGGATTAGCGTTTGATGTTAGGTGTTGTTGAAATCCATTACATCATGCTAAGTTACAAGCACGACAACAAAAGCCTCGCGTGCCGTGGCGCCGTATGTATTTATTCCTTAGCACCCAGACACCAATACGCGTGGCATGGCTCGTGTAGTCGAACTCGCGGCTGTGTTTGGGGTGGCCAGACCTCACTGAGGCTAGGGCATCGGCTTTCATTGCCCTAGTCTCGCCGAGGGCCGCTGTGACCCCCGGAGCTGAGCGCCTGCCGGCGTCGTGTCCGCCAGGAGCCGACGTTCCAGCCGGAGCCGGGCTACCAGCAGGAGCAGACGTACGTGGAGACGGGCAGCGACCTGCGCTACGGCATGATCACCTACAGCCAGCCGGCCACCGAGAGCAGCTGGAGCCTCAGCCAGCAGCAGCAGGCAGCCCAGGCCAGGTGGGTGCCGACCCGGCCGGACGCGTGCCAACCCGGTCTTGTCCTGCTTCGATGCGGCAGTGATCAGACAGGTTTGTTCTGTCGCAGTCGAGACTGCCCGATGCTTGGCTGCGTGTGGTCCGTGAGGCTTCCCGTCTGTTCGCGTCATTTCCATTATCCTCGCTGCGGCTGCCTGCCGGCGTATGGCTGTGTTGCCTGCGTGCCGTTCTGGCTTAACGGCGCGACTTTAAAGGGAATGCTATTACGGTTTTCGTTGAAGGAACGCTAACTGTGGGAGCGTCCGTCAATTACCGCGACAGCCGAAAAGCAATCAGTAGGCGTACAGCCGCCATCCGTCGACGCAAAGCCCCGCTCCACCTATCGGCCGTGCAACGCGTCACAGTTTCCGCCGTTGTCCGCTGCAGGGCGCTGCTGCCGCAGTACCGCCAGGCGCCCGACTACGACACGGCCGTGAAGCAGATCCACGCGGGCGGCGCGGGCCCGACCGAGCCGCCGGTCACCTACATGTACCGCTCTCAGCCGGAGATCCACCACCTGGACGCCGACGTACGTGCGCGCGAGGCCGCACGGCGCGCGCCGGACGGGCTCGGGTCGGGTCGGCCGCGTGACCCGGTGACCGTAATGGCCGGCGGTGTCGGCCGCCGGGCGGGACGGCGGCCGGGAAGCGGTGCAGTCTGCGGTTCGCCGTTAATCTGGGGTGCACCGCGCGGGTCACGCGATGAAGTGGCTCGCCGAACCCGAAAGCCACTCGGGCGGTTTTTGTCCGTCATCGCGGCCGTTTTCTCGTGCTGATCGTTCCGCTCGGAGCCGGCGCGCGCTGGCCTTTCTCGCGGCGAGATCGTTCGCTCGCCTTTCGCCGGCGGTGCTCGGGCTCACCCTCACGCGGCCGCGGCCGTTTCAGGTGAGCGACTTCTCCCAGTACAAAAACTACGCCGACCTGTCGCACCTGCCCTCGTTCAGCTACCCGGGCAACGGTGGCGCCGTGACGGCAGCGCCGCCTGCCGGCGACCTCATCAACTCCAGCGTCCACACGTACAGGTCAGTGGGGCCGTGACCTCCACCATGGCGCCAGCCGGCGGACGGTCGCGGGGGACGCGTACCTAACTGCCGTGTGATGTCACACTTCTCCGACAGAGATTGTGTGATCCGTACTCAGTGAGCTATGAATGCCTGATAAGATACCTGTGATAGACAGGGGATGGCGCGGCCGTTAGTTTGCCTGTCGTCAACAGATGGTATCGATGACCATTTGCTTGTGTGGATGTTGGCATGAAGTCAGCGGCTGATACGACGATGGCTGGGCTAACTGTTCGGACCTCACAGATTGCCTCGCTTCAGTACGTGGCAGTGGTGAGCGCTCTGCCTGCCTCAGCGGTGGACCCCAGCCGGCGTTGCCATCTGCGCGCTGTCCTCTCGGTTCTTCTGGTGTCATTAGCGGCGTTCGGCCGCCAGCTGCGTCACGTTTGAAGTCGCCCGATCACGACCGGTCGACCCGGACCGCCGGCCGCCGGCCACCGGCTGCGGCTGCGGTCGTGTTGCCGCTGCTGGCACCGGCCGTTCGGAGGTCACTGACCCTCCTCCTCCGACAGCACTCCGGAGCTGGCCACGCAGAGCCTGGGTGACGTCACGGCCGACCCGGTGACGTCAGAGCTGCAGCTGTACCAGATGTACAAGCCGCCGCCGCCTTACCCGTACAGCAAGCCGGCCAGCAGCTCGACGCCCGACCTCGCCTCGGCGGCCGTCCAGGTCAGTCAGGCGCGCCGCCGCCGCCGCCGCCGCCGTCGGCTGGCTTCGTGGTCTGGAGCTCGGCACGAGCGTGTCCCTCGCGCGCTCCGGTGTCGCGTCAGGCATGCGTCTGCCGTCAGCGTGGCGTCCTGATCAGGCGTAGTCCCCCGCCAGTGCCGAGCCCTGTCAGGCATCGTCTGCCGCCAGTGTGGCATCCTGCTCAGGCGTAGTCCCTCGCCAGCGCCGAGCCCTGTCAGGCATGTGTCTACCGCCAGTGTGGCATCCTGCTCAGGCGTAGTCCCCCGCCAGTGCCGAGCCCTGTCAGGCATGCGTTTACCGCCAGCGTGGCGTCCTGCTCAGGCGTAGTCCCTCGCCAGTGCCGAGCCGCGCTCCAGAGGCTGCGTCTGCACAGCTCACACCGGTCTGCTGCGCTGTCAAATACCATGATATTGGCCCGCGATCGGTGACATACCGCGATAACCGCGATCGGTGACAGCCCGACTGCCCCCGCGGTGCAGTCTGTGTGCACACGGTACACGCATGTGCGTTTTGCACATGTGGAATGTGCAGCCGGGGTACGCGAACTGCGTGCCAGCGTGGCACCCGGTTCAGCTCCGACCCAAGCGCAGAACATTTAAAACCCGGCAGGCAGGTCCATGAGACGCGCATTGGCTGGTGTGAGCCGTTGTGTGGCAGGTGTCAGTGAGCCGCGCCTGGGCCAGCCCCGGTGATAAGGCAGGCGCTTTGTGAGCTGGCAGCCCGGCGGTGCAGTGCAGTCTGCCCCCGTGGCAGGGGTGTGGCCTTGTCTCTGAGATCGGGGCAACATCATGCTTCGGGGCTCAAGCTGGGATCTGGGGCGATGAAGCCTGACCTGAAGCGGGCATCTTTGAATGGACACGCGTGCAAAACTTGCTCTGTGCGGGCCAAGGGGAGAGTAAAATGTGACGTTAAGACAGCTGGGGGGAGGGGGCATGTCTCGCCTGCCAGCTGGGGGGGGGGGGGGGGGAAAGGGGATATGTCTCGCCTGCCCGCGCAGTGGTCCCGCCCACGGCTCTTGATGTCATCAGTCTGTGGCAGCTGGCCGGCGCTGCTCCCAGCGAGCCCGACTGACACGTGACCCCGGCTGCGGGCGGCATTTGACCCCGTCGAGCGGCGTTCGGACGCGGACACCGCAGAACGGCCGCCACTGCCGCCAACGGCCGGCGCGCCCGTCGGACCGCCGTGGAACCTCGAATGTAGCTGGGCGCCGGCGGACGGTCGAAAAGCACATTGTTAGCCGTGGCTGCTTTGTGCGGCCGCGGACATGGCGATTGTGTCGTGCTGCTGCGGTGAACACTGCAGCGGCTCCTTGTCTTTTTTCGGTGGAAGTTTCTCCTTTGTTGTTAGGGGATGATCGACGAGACCGTTGTCTTTTGATGTCGGCTGGCCCTGGAGGGCGCGCCCCGTCATGGGCTCTCGACCGGGCGGTGTCGGCCGCGTGGGGCGGCACGCCGGCCCTATCGGGACGCCCGCCGTGTGGGTGGCAGGGGGGCGGGAGGGCCGCGATAAGATAGGCGCGCCTGACAGTGGCACGTGTGTCTGCCGGGTCGCTCCGGCGGAGGGTGTCGCCTGAAGCGTGCGGGGGCGCGTCGGCCTCTGACGAGGGGCGGGGACGGTGAGGTCGGCCCCGCCAGAGACGGGTGGGAGCCGTCGTCGAGCGGGCTAGATGTAGCCACCACACGCCGGTCATACTCTTCGTGATTTTGTAACCAGAAGTTGCGCCAGGTAAACGGAGCCGCGATGTGGCCTTTATGCTCGTATAGGTCCAACACGCCTGTGTGAGGAGTTTGCCTGAGGCCACCGCGGTGAATCGGCGCATCATCCGCCTTTCAGCGTTGCCAGCCGTTTCATCATCCGTGACGCGCCAGGACAGCGCTCCGTGCCGGCCAGTTTCGACACCTGATCTGTCCAAAGGCAGGGACTCGGCTCGGACTCGCCCCGCGTCCGGCCGTCACCGTGACAGCTCGGCCGTCACCGTGACAGCCGTGACGCGTCGCGCCGTCCCGCTGTGACGCCGCCGTGACCTCTGACGCGCGGGGAGCCGCCCAGCCGCGCCGGCGGCGGTGACGCGGCATGTGTCCGCCAGTCGACGCCGCCGGATCCGCCGGCGCCGATGGCAACGCGGCGTGACGTCACGCTGACGGGTGTGACGTCACGGACGAGGGGTGGGCGGGACGAGGGCTGCGAACGGTGGTGCGTGGTCCCGTGGCAGCGGCGTTTCGGTTCGGTCCGATCCGGTTCTGTCCGGGTTGGGTCGGGTCGGATGTAGATGCTCGTGTTGCGAGTAAATCGATGTCGACCTGCGTGGGCCGCAATTGATCAGACGGGTATGGGCCCGGCCAGCCGTGGCCCTAGCGAGTATACTGCGGCTGGCCGTGTGAACAGATCTGGGCCTGCCCGGCTTGGTGTGGAACTGCGGAAGCTGTCGTGTCGACGCGCACTCAGGCCCGGGGTCCAGGATCGGTCAGTACCGCACGCGCGGCATCACGTGCAGCGACCGCGTTTGAGCGCAGTGTATTGTGGCGTGGCGGAACACACCGACTGCGCCGCCGCAGTCGGCCAGCCGATATCGGCTGACTCAGGCTCGCCCCGTCCGGCGCCGCGCGACAAACGGCCCGGTAACCATACTGGAGCCGGGCGCTGGCCGGTGTATCCGGCCGGCTCGCGGCTGGGCGCCGGGTCGGCGGTGGGACGTGCGTGCGACTGCGCTGTCCGGGGAGGCTGACACGGTCGCCGCCGGTCGCCGTCCCGTGGCCGCCGCAGCGGGTAGAGAGCTGTGTATGCCCAGCCGCCTCCCCTGCTGCCTGCGCGGCCACGGGTTACGTGGAGGGTCCGGCGACACGTCATGGACGTTGTCGTGTGGCCCGTCTGTGTGCGTCATCGTGGAGGCTTTTGCCGACGTCCTCGTTGGCGCGGATGCGTCGCTGTTCTCGTAGTTACCATAACCTTGCAGTTTTCCTGATCTCTTTAAGTTGCCAGGGCTGGAAACCCTCTTCTTTGGTTCCGCTTTCTATCTCCGTTTCTGAGCTCCTCTTTCCTCCCCGCCAGCATCTGGTCCTCTTCCTCCCACCGAGTCCGCCGCGCTTTCCCTTCCGCCCTTTGCGGTGCCTAATATCCCCCATTGGCACGGCCGCGCCGCCCTTACCATCCGATTTGGGCGCCTCTTTCACCGCGGCGCCGTCCGCCGGCCGGCCGGCCAGGCCCGGAAGCGGCGGCCCGGCTCCCAGGCCCGCGGCGCGCCGTGTCAGCGCCGGCCGGCCGCCAGTCGGGGCGGTGGCGCGCCGAGGCCGGGTCGGCCCAGCACTCACCGACCGCCAGCTCCGCCGCTGGAGGCGGCCGGCCGCTCCGAGCGCTCCGAGCGCACGGTCGAGCGGTCTCCGTGGCGTGGCGGCGGTTCAGCGCAGCGGGCGCCGGTAAGTGACCGGTGCTCTCCGGGGGGCGGCTGGCCGGCCGGTGCGCGAGCGGAGCCGCTGGCGATCTGCGGCTGGCGCCGCGTCGCCGGTCGGCGTGCCGCTGGTCTCGGCCGGCCGGGAGCAGGGGTGACCGCCGGGCTGGCCAGAGCTGGGCCGTCACCGCCAGGGCCGGCTGACCTGTGCGGTCACTTGGCGCCGTCCGGACCCTTCACGCGGCCGTCGGCCGCCGGCCCGCGCGGAGGCCAGTCTGCGGTCCTGCCGGCGCCCTTGTCCGTGGTCCGGCTGCGGCCCTGTCTGCAGTCAGCTGTGTGGGGCCTCTCGCGCCTTGTTGGTGACACTGCAGCCCTGTCAGCACCTATGTCATGACCCTGTCCCTGGCACTGTCTGCTCCACGTCTGCACCCCGTCTGCGGCCTCATCTCAGCTCCGCCCTCCGCTCCCACCCGTCTGCGGCCCCTGCTGCGGCCTGGCGTGTTGTCCGGCCTCACTCCCGGCCACGTTGCTCCCCGAGCGCGGCCCGAGCGCTCCGTGTGGGGCCGGCTGCCAGTGGCGCGCCCCTCCAGACCTGACCGCTCCACCGGCTGCCGTGCCGGCGCATTAGTTGAGCCGGCCGCCGACTCCGTTCGAGAGGCATTGCGTGCCCTCTGTCGCTGCGTGCCACGGAAATACGCGGTACGCTTGTTTGGTTCGGCGGGGTTTAATAGGTGCCGGTTCAAGCCGATGGGGCCGTTCGCGTGCCGGATTAGCTCAGGTCGTTATATTAATGGCTTGCTGATGACACTGTTCATCATTTACACACCGTTCCGTGGCGCGTGGAACCGCTGCCGCCGCATCCATCACTGCTGGACGCGGCCCTGACCGGGTCGGAGCGGTGGTGGGTCTCGGTCCCGCCGCCCGCCTCAGCCCGCGCCGCCCGCGCCTCGCGGTCGGCCGCCCTACCTGTCCGTGACGTCACCGATTGTCGGTCAGCTGACTCAGCCCGTCGGCTGACGCGCGCTCAAGGTCTGCAGACCTGTTGCTGTGCCTCGGTGGCCGGCTGGCGGGTTCGCCACGATCCGGTCTGCCCCCCCCCCCCCCCCCACCCCTCCACCCGCCGCCCGCCGCCCGCCGCCCGCCGCCTCCGCCGAGCTGCGCAGCCTAGGCGGAGTGCTCTGCCACCTCCAGTTTGCCGCACTGTTATCACGCGGGCGACCAGCGCGGCGTGTCAGCTCGGCACATGTCTGGCCGCGGCCGCCAATCGACCGCGATAACCGTGCTGAGGACTGATGTCGGCCATCAACGATACGCCGTCCGGCCGGCGCTCGGCTCCGAACGGCTCCAGTGACTCACCGGCTGCGCTCAAAACGTTGCTGGGGTCGTGGCTGCTAGGATGGAGTCGGGTCGCGGTTAGGAGACCGAGCGGCAACCGCTCCGTGTCCCATGGTAAGAAAGTTGTCGGTCTGTGCAAAACGGAAGGCTTCTTTGCCGTATTTTTACGCTCACGCGTGTGGGTTGTCCCAATGCATCCAATCCTTTGGCTATGCTGCTACCAGGTCCTTAAAATATACTCCTCAGTGAACACTCTTTTCTTGTCTCTCAGACTCTATCTCTCTCTCTCTCCTCTCTCTTCTCTCTCTCTCTCTCCTCTTCTTCGATCTCTCCTCTCTCTCTCTCTCTCTCTCTCTCTCTCTCCTCTTTTCTCTCTCTCTCTCTCTTCTCTCTCTCTCTTCTCTCTCTCCTCTCTCTCTCTCTCTCTCTCTCTCTCTTCTCTCTCTCTCTCTCTCTCTCTCTCTCTCTCTCTCGTCTCTCTCTCCTCTTCTCTCTCTCTCTCTCTCTCTCTCTCTTCTCTCTCTCTCCTCTCTCTCTTCTCTCTCTCTCTCTTCCTCTCTCTCTCTCTCTCTCTTCTCTCTCTCTCTCTCTCTCCTCTTGTTTTTTC